AAAAGTTTACTACTATAGGTGCCGTGACACGTTCACTTTTAAAAAGTTTTAAATTATTAAAATTCAATGTAGTGTACTTAATTACTGTTTTGTATCTTAATTTGTGGCTCAGTTGTAGCACTTTGTAATTTTCACTTAACAACATTTTTTAATCATGGTAATGATCCAATTATTGCATTATTACAGCTATATTACATGTTCCAACAGAGTATAATAGTTTTGTTCACCTAATGGTTATTTGTAACACCTCAATAGTTAGTCACAAGACATCAGAACAAAATTATGCAGTTAGTTAAATTGCCTTGGGTAATAAATTCCGAAACAGAATTGTTTTAGAATAATTCAACATTTCAAACTATAGAGCAAATAGAGGAGAAATTGTATTTTGTTCTTTTGAATTTTATCAAACTTGCGCTTGTGAATGTCTTAAAGAAATACGTCAATTTAAATTTAGTAAGGTGTCACTTATTTTCAATTGATTAAAAACCCTCTTTAACAAAATTCTAGTACTAAAAAAGTTTTACTCTTAACACATTGACAGACAGAAGGACCAAATCAAGTTTGAAAATTGGCACAATAGTTTTTTGCAATCTATAATCAATAGAGAACTATTTTTACATAAAAAAAACTTAATATTAATTAAGGCACCTTAATTTAGGCTAGAACCGTCATGGTGCCCGCGGGCAATAGGCACTAAGTAATGGGACGATAACTGCAAAAGTTTAAAATCGTAAATAACAGGTTCAATGAGTCGAATAAGCAATTTTTGGTGTGCAACAAAGTTGTTTTGCTAGTTTTATAAATAACAAAAAATCTACTCCTTTTACAACTAGTACATACTGAAGTGCAAGTCATTGAAGAGGTGGAAATCGAAATTCAACCCGATAAATTGTTTCCAAAAGAGTTTTGTTGGTAACTCACTTCGCAATAACTTCATCCCCCAAGCCACGTTTGATGCAATTTGACAACGCAAAGCATTTCGGCTTTCGAGATACGTTTTTCCAAATTCTGTGACTCTGTACTGTACAAAACGCGGCTGAATATAAGATCAATTTTGGATATATTTGGGCTCACAAATCATGACTATCAATGATTTTATAAGATGTCGTTTTTTTTTAAATCTCTATTTTCTTTTTAAGTTACAAATCAGAAAACAAAATAGAAGATATGTGTATTAATAATGTCAAGT